GTTTCAACTAAACTTTCCTGCCCCCAGTGACACCCCTGCACTCTGCTTTATTTATGTGAACTCTGGTCTCTTTGATCTGTGGGAATGTATACAGATATTCATATAATACATTTTATAGACACTTCAGAAACTTTGAATCTCATCCATTTGAGCATAATGATTGTCACATGTTTGTATCTGTTCATGTAAAGATGTTCTACCAAATGAATGGATTCTTGAGAAAGTAAATGTAAATGTAAATTTAGCAAACAAAGGCAGTTTTACCTGTCCATGCAGGCATGCTGCACATTCCATGCTCTCCAACTTTTCATCAGCTAGGTACTAAAATAGAAACCTCTAGTGGCCACGTGTGATATTTAAGAAGCTCGATTTTATACACTTTGGCAAAGTAGTAAATATACCTTACACAATTTGCCTTCTTCCCACACTCATTCATTTAGCAAATACATGCCTGGCATGGCAAGAGCTCAGAAAGTATTACCAGTTGATGCTGTTGTTGTTATTCATATATGATGGTGTACTTATCCAGTACACCAAATCCTGTGAGGAGAAAGAAACTAGATTCAGCCACTCGATATTTCAACTACTCTTCAGTACCTTCTATGAGGCAGGCACTGTAGTAGGTCCTGGAAATAGAGCAGCAAATGAGCAAACATGTTCTTGCTCTCAAGGAACTTATTTTTGTTGGGGAAGATGGTTAAAATAATTCCAGTAAAATGTCAAAAATTTTATAATAGAGAAAATGCAAGATGCTATGAGTATATCTAGCAGAAGAACCTAACTTATTTTAAGAGGTCAGGGACAGTAAGGAAACTATATATATTATGACAAATGCTGTAATGGAAAGTCTTTTTTATGTTTAGAGATACCACAGATTAGGAGGTGCTTGAGTCCTTGGGGAGTCAGAGAAAGCTCTTCATTGGAGAAAACACTTGAACTGGCTCTTGTAGCAGAGATGTAGGTAAGTGGCAGTAGGGCAGGGAGAACATTCCTGGCATACGGAATGGTTTATAGAATGTCACAAAGCATGCCAAAGCATTTCACGGTCTCTGATTTTCAGTAGCTCTGTATTGTTAGGACAGTGTGGGGCAAATGCGAGTGGGCAGTGGTACATGTGGGGAGAGTAAGAGATGAGGCTGAACTGCAGCCCTGAAGGAATTTCTCTGCCAAAGAGTTGGGACTTTATCCTGAAGGCTGTGGGTGTCACTGAAGTGTTTTAAGCAGAGGAAGAATTATGATCACATTTTTAATTTTTAAAGATCGTTCTTTCATCTCTGGAGAAAATAGACTGATTAGAGTAAGGTTGGAGATAAGTGGACCTATTGGGAGATTGTAGCAGGTGCACAGACAGGAAATAACAAGAAACTGAATCAGGGTAGTGCCATGGAAATGGAGAGAGAGAATCAGAATAGAAAGATCGAATTGACACGTTGTAGTGAGCAACTCAGTGGAGGGGTGAGGGAGAGTAAGTGAAGGCTTGGGTGAATGGTAATGCCACTTGGGATTAGTAGAGGAGTCTTTGTCAACTTGGATTTCCCCCAACATTGACACATCCTGTGATTATAATAGATATCAAACATTAGTGTCACTTCCAGAGACTTCAAAAATCCTTATATCCACTTTTCTTCAGGCAGATATGATGATTTTTATTCACTTGTGAGACAGAGCAGTTAGGTGGGTTCTCTTAGGATTTTATAGCTGAGTAATGAAGAGAATTAAAGTCAAATCCATTTTCTTATGTAGTATTCTAGTGAAAGTTGGCTGTTCCCTAATTGATTGTGGGAGTTTGATAATATTTTTGAGAGCTGTAGGGAACAATTTTCATAAAAGATTGAGTTTAAGCAAACATGGGGTAGTGTTAGAACATATATAATAATATAAGACTTTTGAATAAAGAGGGAAAAGAATCCTTCAGAAGAGGAGAATGGCTTGCATGGTAAAAGATGTTTCTTGTGATTTGTGATTGGTGTTTAGTGCCCCCTATTGACTGTTTAGTCTCAAATATCTTGATTCTTGAATACAGTGTTCCTTGCAGTGTTATTTACCACAACAAGAAAAGTTAGAGGTTTTAAAAATTATGTTTAAAGGTGATAAAAATTGATGGGGACTTAAAAAATCTGATTGGAGTCTAGGAGTTGGATAGAGGTCATGAGAAATATCCTTATAACATTTTGTTTGATATAATGTGGGTGTGATATTATGGACCATATTTTCAGAAAACAGACTTCTGATGAGAAGCAGCCTAAATCTGGACGTTTTTTGTTTTTTAGCATTTTTTATGCATCCGAGCCTTAAGAATAGTAGCCACCCCAGTAGGCAATAGCAGTGGCTGTTTTCCCATAGGATAGCTGCTACATGTGATGACCGTGAAAGGAAATGACTGTTGCTCATTAAATTAACTTCATTCAGCAACATGGGAAAGCACATGGTTAGAAAAGTCATCATAGGAAATGAAGTAGTGATTATACATAATGGGGGCATCTTCAGAAGTGGGTAGTTTGTCATTTATAAGTGACAAAGAAGCCACCATTGGGGTCTCTTCTCCAGGAAAGTGGGGGTAGAATAGATTTAGTGTTTAGAATAACTAGAGAGCTAAGCCTGAATAAATTTTTATAAGCAAGCACACCTGGTACTATTTTGAGATCTAAAGAAGACTGCACTTTGTGTAAATAAGTGCTCACCATGACTTTTCTATAATAAGAGAAATCTATTAATCTTTCTATTTCCATTATTTCCTGGTTAAACTTCCTTTGAAATGTTTCTAATTATCATTTCAACTGGTTGCATTTTGGAAAACAGTTCACCTATTTATTCAGGTTAAAAATAAGTACTTTTTGATTCAGTGTTATGTGAAACTACAGAAATTGCTCACACCAACCTAGTGAATTAATTTATTTGCTTTCAGTTTATTTTACTGTTGCAATTTTCTCTAAGAAAGTTTAGTAATTATTAATATGAAGTAATGCTGGCTGCTTTCTGTGCATTTCATGAGGGGAATAAGCTATTATGTCGTTTCCCTTCCCCCCAATAAAAAAGCCTTTCATCAAAATCTGACATCCTAAATAAAGGACATAATTGTACAGCTTATTTATTAGTGTGTCAAACTTAAAATCTAATGGTTTCATATTTCAGAATGAAAAGTGTGTTGTGATTCATGGTTGCCAGTGACAAAATAGACAGCTCTTTTATATTGCTGTGCTGATTGCCTGCTGATATGCTACTGTGTGTGTGTTTTTTTTTTGTTTTTTTTTTTTCCGGTTCTTTTCTGTTTTCTTCCTATGCAATAGCTCCCTCTACTTGAAAATATTGGTGTAATTATAGTTTAACACTATGTACTTTATTAATGAGTTCCCATGACTGTACTTACTTTCAATCCTCTCCATAAATATGTAGTGTTATAGATCAGAGCATGTTAGAAATTTACCAAGAATCTCTTGGGAATGAAGAAGCAAGATTAGTTAAGGAAAGTAAGATAAGTTGTTTAAAGGCATATTTCAAGGAATTAACTGTTTAACCTTTGTTGATTTAAATATTGCATATTTGGTTAAAATTCTATGTAATACTCGAAAATTAACCTCAATGTCTGAAACACAGAAGTGTAGGAAACTGGATTGGAAAAGTTCAAAAGAACCATCAGCCACTTCAAACAAACAAGCCTGGAACTTGGCAGTTTCTCTACTTTCTAAGGGTTTAATTGAAACTAACAATAGTAGAATCTCACGTTACTACGTCTTGCCTTTATGGAACGGTCTGTGCATAATGAAACAGTAAGAGTGAAATAGACAAACCAAAGAAATCCTGTTGTGATAGGGATTTTTTTCCACACTAAATCTGAGGTTCAGTGATAGGACCATATACCTCCACCATCAGGACAAATACAGAGATTCTACTCAACAATAAGATTTCCATGTGTATACGTCTTTGCATTCACCACTCTTTATTTCCAATTTCGTCTGACTATCATCATGGTACAGAACAAATGCAGAACAATGGTGGCCAAGAATAAGGGCTTAGGAACCACGCTGCTTGGGTTTAAATCGTAGCTTTTCCGCTTAGCAACTGGGTGATCTTGGCAAGCAAGTTTCCTTAACTTTCTGATGCTCAGTTTCCTCATAAAATACAGACAATAAATCTACCCACATCCTGGAGTTTGCTGTAAGGATTGGTTGAATTAATGATTGTGAAGCACTTAGAACAGAGCCTGACACATATTAAGTGCTATATATCAGTTCGTTGAATAAAATAAAAAATAATAGGGGCTATAAATTGGTCTTTATTAACCAAATGTATCTATAAAATGTCAGCGTTCTCTTCAGTGTGTAATGAAAAGAAATGTGGAAGTCTCAATGGATGAGAGATATTTGCACATTGGTTTTATTCAATGTATTTCAATGTATGAAGAGTTTTCACGTAGGGGTACCTATACTATGTCATAATTTTAGGGTATCACGTTTTTAAATATATTTTTTAAATGCAGTGGAATATTACATGGTTTCCATGTCTTTTTTTGAATTTAAGTGATTTAGCAGAAGGATTCTATACTGGCAGAATGCCTAAGAATGGAGTATCATTTCCCATAGCACACCTCTCTTGAGGCCTACTTATTGCCCAAGAGCAATGATAGATGGGCTTGTCTTTGGTCTATAGGATGACTATGCTTGAGGATGTCAGAATTTTGCCAAGTTGTCCTTGCACCTCTTGTAATCCAACAAAATATCGGTCACCAAAAGTTTTAAAAAAGAAATCTATATGTATTGAGCACTCATACATGCAATTAAAATTATTAAGTTTTCGTTGTCAGCTTGGTACACGCTGATAATCTGTGTGGATGTTTAGAATGATATTTTAATAGATTGTGTCCTCTTTGGAAGAATATCACCAGAATGCCAGACACATAAATAAATAGTCAAATGAGTTTCAGGAGTAAACATAAACTGTCTTAAAGCTGTATATTTGTTTTCAGGGAACTGACTTATCTTTCGTCTTTGTTTGATCCTTAGGACCCCTTAGATTCCACAAGATCAGTGATTGTGATTCGTTCCCTGGTGGCGAATAGTGTTGCAGAGAAAAGTGGAGAACTATTACCTGGAGACCGCCTGGTCTCAGTCAATGAACACTGTTTGGACAACACCGTACTTGCTGAAGCTGTGGAAGTGTTGAAAGCTGTGCCACCAGGCACTGTACGCCTTGGCATCTGTAAGCCTTTGGTGGTAAGTGTTGAGTTTTGTTAATCTAGGATTGATAATAGTGTAATAGTTAAGAACATGGATTTTGGAGATGAATACACTTGGCCTTGAATCTTTGTTCCACTGCTTACTATATGTGTGTCCTTGTGCAAGTTTCTTAATGTCTTTCACTTACAGACAGAATCAGAAAAAAAAAAAAAATTCTTTCTCGTAGGGTTTGGGGAATTAAGGATGATATTCATTAAGTACGTAGCACATTATTCCATAAATGCCAACTGCTAACAGTACTAGTCCTACTACTACACTTTTACCAGCATTTTTATCTGTATGCAGACTTCTAAGGTCTCATCACTTTCCTTATGATGTAAATTAAAATAAGTATTTATGCCTTTTAGTTTTCATTTGGAAATGATGTCGAGATGGCATGATAAATTGAAATCCAGTTAACTGTATCATTTTAACCATATGGCAATGAGATTTTAGTATGCTTTTCTGACCATCAAAGTGCCTTGTAACCTACCATCTAAACTCCTATACACTCCAGGCATCTTGAAGTAATCTTATTGCTAATCTCATGTACTGGGCCAGATCACTGTTTATGATCGAAGGCCACATTGCAGTTATAGTGCTGTTGAGGTTCCCCAGTGCAAAAAATTACTTGATGATAATTTTCAAGAAGTATTAAAGTATTATTAAGTGCTTACTATATGTCAATCAGTATTTTAAGCCTTTTACAGGTATTAACTAATTTAATCCTCACAGAACTTTAAGAGATGGTTCTCTTATTACTCATATCACAGATGAGTCAGTCAAGGGACAGAGAGCTGAATAACTTATCCAAGGTGATATAACTAGTAAGGGGCAGAATTGGAATATAAACTCAACAAAGTGGCTTCAGACCCTGTGCTCTTAGCCACAATGTTATATATTTCTGTTTTAATTGTTGTCACTAGTATAGTTTGCATACAGCATGTCTGAAACAGCATGGTTACAGTAGAGTGTTGGACTGGATTTCAAGGAATCTGGGCTCCGTTTCTACCTTTGCTATGATTTAGTCTAGAGATTTTCAAACTCAGAGATATGTGCTTTATCTAAGAATCATCTGGGAGTTGGTTAAAATGCAGTTTCCCAAGTCTTAACCTCAGAGATTCTGACTTAGGGATTCTGATGTGCTATTCAGGAATCTGCCCCTTCAGTGAGTCACCTCGTAATTCTAATGTATAATTTTATACTCTGAGAAACAATTGTACTCATAATTTGATGATAGGCGTACTACTTTTCATCTCTGAGCCTATTTTTTCATTTCTGAAAAGGCTGAGTAAGACTAAAGAACTCCTAAGATCTTTCTTAACTCTAAAATTTTATTCTATGAAACATATTAACATACTATAAGTGTTCATATAGACAGATATGTTTATATACATAGGTACAGGTATAGATAGATTCATGTATTACATATGTATTTTGCAGAACATTGGAGAACATCAGCATGACCTTCATGTATTACTTTTTTATATTTCATTTATTATACATAAAGATGTCGAAAAAAAAAAAAAATTCTTTCTCGTAGGGTTTGGGGAATTAAGGATGATATTCATTAAGTACGTAGCACATTATTCCATAAATGCCAACTGCTAACAGTACTAGTCCTACTACTACACTTTTACCAGCATTTTTATCTGTATGCAGACTTCTAAGGTCTCATCACTTTCCTTATGATGTAAATTAAAATAAGTATTTATGCCTTTTAGTTTTCATTTGGAAATGATGTCGAGATGGCATGATAAATTGAAATCCAGTTAACTGTATCATTTTAACCATATGGCAATGAGATTTTAATATGCTTTTCTGACCATCAAAGTGCCTTGTAACCTACCATCTAAACTCCTATACACTCCAGGCATCTTGAAGTAATCTTATTGCTAATCTCATGTACTGGGCCAGATCACTGTTTATGATCGAAGGCCACATTGCAGTTATAGTGCTGTTGAGGTTCCCCAGTGCAAAAAATTACTTGATGATAATTTTCAAGAAGTATTAAAGTATTATTAAGTGCTTACTATATGTCAATCAGTATTTTAAGCCTTTTACAGGTATTAACTAATTTAATCCTCACAGAACTTTAAGAGATGGTTCTCTTATTACTCATATCACAGATGAGTCAGTCAAGGGACAGAGAGCTGAATAACTTATCCAAGGTGATATAACTAGTAAGGGGCAGAATTGGAATATAAACTCAACAAAGTGGCTTCAGACCCTGTGCTCTTAGCCACAATGTTATATATTTCTGTTTTAATTGTTGTCACTAGTATAGTTTGCATACAGCATGTCTGAAACAGCATGGTTACAGTAGAGTGTTGGACTGGATTTCAAGGAATCTGGGCTCCGTTTCTACCTTTGCTATGATTTAGTCTAGAGATTTTCAAACTCAGAGATATGTGCTTTATCTAAGAATCATCTGGGAGTTGGTTAAAATGCAGTTTCCCAAGTCTTAACCTCAGAGATTCTGACTTAGGGATTCTGATGTGCTATTCAGGAATCTGCCCCTTCAGTGAGTCACCTCGTAATTCTAATGTATAATTTTATACTCTGAGAAACAATTGTATTCATAATTTGATGATAGGCATACTACTTTTCATCTCTGAGCCTATTTTTTCATTTCTGAAAAGGCTGAGTAAGACTAAAGAACTCCTAAGATCTTTCTTAACTCTAAAATTTTATTCTATGAAACATATTAACATACTATAAGTGTTCATATAGACAGATATGTTTATATACATAGGTACAGGTATAGATAGATTCATGTATTACATATGTATTTTGCAGAACATTGGAGAACATCAGCATGACCTTCATGTATTACTTTTTTATATTTCATTTATTATACATAAAGATGTCTGTATATTGTACCTGTCAGACACTTTAAATGTTTCAGAATGGAGCATAGCACATAGCTAGGTCGAGTTCTTGACTTTATTTTGCATATTTGGTGTGTGGGTGTTGCCATAGCTAATATATACCATGAGATACCCAATTTGATTTTCGGACAAATTAAGGAAGGGAAATGTTGGTAGTCTTACAGGGACCTCATCTTCTTGGTATTTTGGATTGTGGCAGGAACTTTGTCTAGATTTTCCCTGATGATTATTTGAACTGCTGGAGGAACTCATAAATTGTTTATGGCCTACAGGACTTAAACAGCATGATTTTACTTTGAAGCAGTTTAAGGAAGTCTCAGGCAGTGTGAGTAATGGAACAGTACGAACTGGGTATGGATTCCTGTGCTATTTCTGGCAGGGAGTAGAGATGTAGAAAGATTGAGACCTTGGAGCCTCACTCTTAGAAGATTTTAGAATGTAATGATTGTGAGATGGACCTTTGTCCAGGCTTCCCTGAGTGAGCAGAAGGCTGTCAGGATACTTGGGAGTGGGAGGCCAGTAAAGGGATGAAAGAAAGGTCACTTTCAAGACTTGAAAAATTCTTAGTGGAATTACCAGTTGTTAATTCCTTATTTAACATCTGGGTTCTTCTAGCAAAACTACTTGTGAGCTATAAATAGTGACGCATGGATCTTCTCCAAGTTCTCTGTCTTTCTTCTTCTTTCATGGTTCAGTTGGTGGCCACTTGTCTAACCCCCTAATATCTACTGAGCATTTACTCATTCTCAGCAGAAGTGAGGATAGAGTTTAAATAAAGAGGTCGAAAGTCAGGTCACAGCAGAAAGGCTATAAATATAAACAGGAGAACAAAATGATTTTTTATTGAGTCTTGTATCATATAGATATATATTATCTACATAATATATTTATAGATATTATATAATCTTATAGTCTTATTTATTTAGATACATATTATGTATATAATAATTTTCATGTTAACCACAAATGTGACTTACCTTCTCTTATCTACAAAGTCCCCTCGGATGGACCAGATCCAAAAAAATGAATGGACTGACTTTAAAAACTGCATTTTATCTTCAGAACTAACAGAACAGAGCTGGCAATGGAGTTCTTTAGCCAGACAACTGTGGGTTTTTGCTTAGTTCTGTGATTTGCAAGGCTGTGTATTCTTTGACCGAGTTATTTAACCTTACCAGCTCCCACTTCCTCATCTACAAGATGGGAATTGCATGACACAGTAGTTGAGATCAGGCTCTAGAGCCAGACAGCTGGGGTTCAAATTTTGGGTGTGTAACTGACTAGTTATGTAACTTTGGGCAAATTACTGTGTCTCTTTCACTCTTCTATAAAATGAGATTAATAAGACCACTTACTTCTTAGAGTAAATATTAATAATAAATAACATTTGAAGCGAAACCAGAGTATATTGATAAACATAGTAAATGAATTGGTATATTTAAAGGGCTTAAACATGTGCCTGTTTGCTGTTATTCTTTATAAATATAAAATATAAAATCCTGACCTTACAGGATTATCATAAAGATGACGCTGAGATAAAGCATATAAAAGTATTTACTGTAGATTGTGATATATACTTAGGACTTGATAAATAGTGGCTATGCTATTACCTGGGACTGATTGTGAGCTGTTCCTCTTCTGATGGACAGTGACTACACTGTACCATTGTTAAACATTTTGAATATCACCCTGTATATACTTATACATTTCTTAATAATAAGGTCCATTCCTGGGAAAGTGATTTTTTTCTTCAAGGAACACATAAAAAGAATAAAAAGTTTGAGAAGCTTTGACCTGAATATGGCTTTCTTTTTAATTATTAAAGGAAAAGCTTGTTCTAATAAAATAATGTGCATAAATTTTATTGTGTACTTGCACTTAATGGAAAAATAAGAATTAATCTAAAGAGAGCTTGAAACCAAAGTATTTTCTTGATTATCTTGATTATAAAAGTGTTTCTGTGGTTGCCAGAAGGTTGGGAGTAGGGAAATGGGTTAAGCAGGTCAAAAGGTACAAAATTCCAGTTATCTGGTAAATAAGTCCTTGGGATGTAGTGTATGACGTGGTGACTGTAGTTAACAGTAGTGTATTGTATATTTGAAAGTTGCAAATATTAACTCAATTTATTGTGGTAATGGTTTAGCAATATATATATCAAATCATTATGTTGTATGCCTAAAACTAATATGTCAGTTATATCTCAGTCAAAAAAGAGCTTCATGGTTGGCAAAAACATTTCAACTGTACTAAAAAGTTTAAAAATAAAAATGCTTCTATTTTCAGGAAAATGATAAAGAGGAAGAAAGTTATATTTTGCATTCAAACACTAATGAAGACAAGACTGAAATTTCAGAAACAATTCATGATATAAATTCATCTTTAATACTTGAAGCCCCGAAGGTATTTAGTAAATTTATTTCCCCCATGAATGGTTTGCTGTGAGCTAAAGTTTCTGTGAAGAAGACGAAAGCTTATTCCTACTCCCTTAGCTAAATAGATAAAATTCAAATAATCCCCCTTCTTTGTTATTTTTTTTTATTTGAAATCTTTTTCCTCTTATATCACATTGCCTCCATAAATGACATTGGCCAAGTGTAAGTCATTTTCAGAGAACATACTGTCTTTTATACTAATATATTCTTAAAATTTTGAGTGTAGAACATATTTTTGAAAATAGACCTGTATTTAAAATGCTGTAGAAAATCCTGTACAAGAGAACTTCTTATCGAATACTTTCTAAAGAAAAGAGTTATTTAGTTCAACCTGACTTTATTTTAATTTTAGAAAGTATATTTTGAAGCATTTCCTTTTTTATTTTTAAAACAAATTGTGCTTATTTTGCTCTTTGCAGTTAGAGTATGGTTTTGCTTTACTTGACGACAACTGTCTTTTGGTATTCTTTACATAATTTGTTGACAGTGTCTCAAACTGATATTAGTCCTATTATGTTCATTATATATTTTTTTGTGTAGACTTTTTTTGTTAAAATTTCATAACCGTATGATGTTCAAATATACCCTCTAATGCAACTTACAAAAAATTTTAACTAGTTTGCAGTATTTGGTATGCCCTATTAATTTAAAAGCTTCACCACAGTGATATTTAGCTGCAAGCGAGGAAGCAATGGAAAGGAATAAATTCATTTCAGGAATTTATACTTAATAATACTTAATAAATAGGACTTAAAATAGGAAATGTCACTGACCCCTTAGAGGGATTTGAGCCTCACTCCACCCAGCACCATGAGGTCCCTAAGAGTTAGGCCAAAGGCTCAGCAGATCCATATCATCCTCAGGCATTTTCTAGGAAGTCAACAAAGTTCTCACACATCTCTGACTTTTTAGCGTCACTTGAATGTACTTGATCTTCTGTTTAGTGAAATATAAACTAAGAGCATACTGTATTCATCCCTTTTTGTCATATTTTCAAAGCAGATGAAAACTATACTTTTTATTACATTATATATTATAAAATAATAGTACTCAATTTGAGACGTACTCCCCATATCTTTAGTGTATAAAGAATATATTTTGATCAAATTGCCATAATTTCTGAGTTACAGAAGCTTGAAACTCCTGACCTTTTAAGTCTTTGCTTTCTCAACTAATAGTAAAAAGTGTATTTTTGTACTACTTTTTATATGAGATTCGTGGGTTAAATATTCAGTGTAGCAGTTTAACAAACTTCCTATTTCTGACTGAGAATTTTCAGGTGGTTAATGTGTAATGAATTTTTTTAGAATACTCATTCACCTTGCCGAGGGCAGATTTCTGTCTCTGTTTTTTTGTTCATTCTTTTCCTGGATTGAGAGTTGTGTGGTAGTGAGCTTGTATCTCTCTTCATTTGTAATGGAAAGCGTTCATGTTATCTATGAATTGGCATATAATAATGTCATTATAGTTATGTCAGGGGTTAATTTTTTAGTTAATATGTGGAGTGCATCTTTAGGACAGGTGTAGTTTAATTTTTTGCAACTTTTTTTTTTTTTTAACAGGGATTTAGAGACGAACCCTATTTTAAAGAAGAACTTGTGGATGAACCATTTCTAAATTTGGGGAAATCTTTCCAGTCCCAACAAAAAGAGATTGACAGCAGCAAAGAGGCCTGGGAAATGCATGAATTTCTGACTCCCAGAGTGCAGGAAATGGGTGAAGAAAGAGAAATGCTTGTTGATGAAGAATATGAGCTATATCAAGATTGCTTGCAGTCCATGGAGTTGTATCCCTCATCACATGTTCAACAGGCTGCTCCTGTTGCATCCATGAAGGAAATTTACTTTCGTACCCAGTGGTTACATGATAGTGAACCACCTAAGCCTCAAGAAGCAAGATCTGTGATGAGTGTATATTCTCAGGAGAAACAGCAATATGGCTATAGCACTGAAAACATGGTAAGGGTCTAGAACAGATCTTCTACACCCTCCCTGTTTCCTCCCCTCCCTATCCCAGTCTCTATGTCATGTAACTTTCAAAAAAAAACAAAATTTAATGAGTCTATTCATAGTTAATCTTTTTTCCAAGATGTACCATACAGTGTATTGCCGTAAGTAAAAACTCATCTTTTCTGTATTACACAACTCGCAGTTGGAGTCAGTAAGCTATGGTTGCCTTGCTACATAGTGGTTTTTTCCTTTTGCTTTTTAGTAATTGTTTTTCTCCTAATTACACATTTCAAGGAAGAGTTCTCTTACTATTTGTGATTTTTCCTCCCCTCAGGGAGACACAGCTTTATATTTCTCACATAGTGTATTCGTTAGGGAAGTCAAGGCAAATTGATTAAAGATATATTGTTGTTTATATCTTGTTCATCCATACTGTTCTCTGTATTACAAGATAAACAGAAAGTCACTGACCTCTAGAAAATTATCTTTACATTTATGATACTGCCTATTTGTGATACTTGGCAGGAAAGTGTTATATTCTAATAGTTTTGTGTTTACTATTAAATCACCAATAAACTTTACTTTTTATAAAATTAAAGTTAACTGGTCACCAGTTGGAATCTTTCTTTTGTTAAGGACATTTATTAGTGTTTTATTTTTCTTTGTTTATTTCCTGCCCCAAATTAAGTTCCAGGCAAATGAAAAGAAATGTATTATATAGGGATATAGAGTGATATGTTCAGCTGCAGTGTGGTGCTTCCCTCACTGGCAGCTTTCCTGCAGAGATGTACAAAGTGTACGTCCATCTGCCCTCTCATCGGGCAGTTAGAGCAGAGTTTTTTCTTTGCCTCTCTTAGACCTTTCCCTTCTGCCAATGCTTGTGGGTCCTTCTGCTATGCAAGGTGCTGTGCTTAATGTATTTATGGAACCTCAGAGGATTCCCCATAATAGAGGACTCTGGGCAGTCTAGCAGAGAACACATGTTTTGGGATTGTGTAAATACCTTAATATGAAAATGCCTTTGACATTGGTGCTTTCTACCTTTGCCAGTCTCACTCCTATATAGGTAAGTGCTTGACCCCAAAACAGAATATTCAGTTATATGGAGCAAATTCTAATCACAGATTAGTGAAGATTCATAAATACTCCCTTATTGTGGCTTTCTTCTATAAAAAGAAAACTTTCTTTTACTCCAACATAAGGCGACCTGAAATCTAGGCCCATTTTAATATACATTTAGGAATATAGATGATATAAATGTATTTCACAGTATTTACTGTATAAATTTAATTAAATGTTCATATTTGAAAACTTGTGTAATGTTAATTTTTGCCTATTCTCACATTTAATGACATAATTTTATTAAAATTATTTTAATGCATATTTAATGTCAATATCTACTAGTCACTTTTCGATCATTTAACATGGCTTTCCAACTATATGGTCTTCATTTCCACCTATGTTGTTTGAGACCTATTAATTTTTGAATCCATACTGTCAGTCTAAATTCTATCCTGATCTCAAGTACTCATTTGCATAACATTAGGTTTTTTAAAAATTTCTCTTGTAACTTTATATTGATGATCTTCACGTTGTAACCACTTACTCTATTGTTTGTTAAAGCACTCTTTAACAAGCTTATTTATAACAACATTCAAAGCTCACAATTTGAAGGACATGCATCCTAATTACCCAATCTGTGTAAAATTTCCTAGCTTTCTAATATGTGAGGTAACCTCTATCTGCTCCCTAAACTGGTATTGATTCAGATTGTTTCACTCCTAATGTGTCTTGCCTAAACAAGTGTGGCATTGCTTCTCTATTTTTAATTGTGGTAAAATATATAACATAAAGTTGATCATTTTAAATATTTTTAGGCTTGCAGTTCCAGTTGCATTAAATACAATTACATTATTGTGCAACCATTACCACCGTCTATCTCCAGAACTTTTATTTAGTAAACTGAAACTCTGTACCCACTAAACAATAACTGCCTATTCTCTTAGAACCAACCACAATTCTACTTTCTGTCTAAGAATTTGACTACTCTAGGTGTTTCATGTAAGTAGAATCATGTTTATACTTTTGTGTCTGGCTTATTTCACTTGGCATGATGTCTTCAAGATTCATCCATGTTGAATTCCCTTCCTTTTTAAGGCTGATTAATATTTCATTGTATGTATATACTGCATTTTGTTTACCTTTTATCAATTGATGGACATCTGGGTTGTTTCTATCTTTGGCTATTGTGAGTAATGCTTCTATAAACATTGGTACCCAAATATCTGTTTAAATACCCAAATTTCGGGGGTATATTCCCAGAATTGAAATTGTTAATCATACAGTAATATTATGTTAAATTTTTAATGAACCACCATACTGTTTTCCACAGCATCTGCACCATTTTACATTCCTACTAGCTGTATACAAGTTTTCCAATTTTTCCACATGCTCACCAAAACTTGTTTTCTGTTTTTTTTTTTCTTTTTAAATAGGTGTGAAGTAATATCTCATTGTGGTTTTGATTTACATTTTCCTTATTATTAGTGATGTTGAGCAACTTTCCATGTGCTTATTGACCATCTTCAAATATTTGGAGAAATGTCTGTTCAAGTCTTTTGCTTATTTTTTAAAGACCTTATTCTTGTTGCCTGAGGATTATTTACCTGAAAATAATGGTATATTATTTTCTTCTCTATTTGGAAAAAAACTTGAATTCATTTTTCTAAAGGTCTAACCTCTCATACCCACTGTATTGAAATCTCAGATTCAGGTATCAATTCTCTTGTTCCTCAGTTACATAATTGCCATTAATGTTTTTTTAAATGTCCAAATAGTCCAAAAATTGCTGTGCAATTTTTTCTTTTTAAGTATTCGTTGCCTACCTTCTCCTCCCTACTTCCTTCTCTAATAAGTTCTCGTTTATTTTATTCTAGGCAACTAAGTAGTCATATCTCCTTTCTACTTCTATCTAATATTTGAGTTGAATTCTATGTTCTGTAGGCTCCATGAGGTATCTGAGATAGTAATATACTTAGTATATTCATAATCTGGAAAAATCTAGCAGTATTTGGTACATCAGTTTATGGGAAGTTATCTTACCTTTGAAGTCTGTCCAATATAACTTAATTTTAAAATATCGACTATTGTAAAAGATGTAATTCACATTTTTGTTTTGAACAACCTAAATTTCCAACAATAGAGAACAATATAGTGCTATTCACCCCAGTTGAATCAAGATATATCCCTATGGTGGCCATAATATTGTCATTTAATTTTATGCCTATAAAAGTTTTTAAAATATAATAAAATACTTCAGTGAAAATTGTATGTTCTGAAAGATTTTAACTTTGGAAAATCATGAAAGACGTGAAAAGGAGATCGAGAAAAAAATATAAGTTACTGACTGTGCTTATCTTTGGCTTTAAGTTTGGGTAATTGGGTGTTCACCAAGCAAATGAGAGTGCTAGGAAAGGCATAGCAAAAGTCTAGAGCTATGAAAATTTACCAGGTATTTTGGGATCACCTATTTAAATGGTGATCCAACATGATCTAGGAGGTAGTGTGTATCAACCATCAACCTTGCTTGAATTAATAGATCTTTATATGCCTCTACTTTGGTAAATGTTTATTTAAATCTACTTATTAATGTTTAGAAAACAAATTTGTTAAAAAATCCAGTGTTTGGAAAAAACAGGTTTTACCAGCCTGCACTCGTAGATTTTAAGTTACCAGCATTTGTAACTACTTACCACAATATAAACTGTTATAAAAGAAGGTCTGTTTGCAGGGCCAGTTTTCCACTATCATCATTATCTGGTTTGAACAATTTTACAGTGTTTCACGTTTTATCATAAAGTACTAATGCATTTCTGTTTTTCTTCCTCTCAAGATGAAAGAAAATTTTGGCATCGATTCCCTACCCTCTATACCCTCAACTGAAGGAAACAGTCAACAAGGCAGATTTGATGATCTGGAAAATCTTAATTCATTAACAAAAAGCAGTCTGGAGTTAGGTTTGTGGGTTTTTTTTTTCTCATAAACACAAATTACATTTTGCTCTTTCAGGTTTATTTTTGTATGTGATGAATTTTACTGTCACATTTTCATTCATTATGATGTTTTTAATTTAAATCTTATTCATCTGCTTCAAAATATCTGCAAGAATAACATGGCTCATATTTTAACTTAGAACTTTCAGGTTCTGTTTTCTGAGAGCATTTTCTCTGCCTCATTTTGCTTTTTATTAGCAGTATGGATTAAAACTAAACCTAGTACCTTAGGCTGAATCTGAAATAAGTCTCTACTAATATATATTAAAATCTCTGCTGCTGTTAAGTGATATTGTTAGCTCATTGAATGGGGTTGTTAAATATTAATAAAGAGAGGCATATTTTAAACATTTATGAAACATTTTTATAGTCATATATTACAGTCAATTTTGGTGCATTAATAACTTAGTTTCCATTAAAGAATCCTGAAAGTGTCATGCCTCTCTCTGCTTCCCCCCAATATTGATTCTTATGTATTTTTGAAAACTCGACTTTAAAAAATAATTTTTCTTCAACAATGAAACATCAAATGTCGTAATATTAGGATCCCTAGGTAAGACCATTAGGTTCTTTCATATACAGGGATTTATGGAGCCATTGTTCAGGATTTATGCTGTCCTTCACCTGTTATGACTCTACTTATAAGAAAAGTCTTTCTTTGTGGGCAATTCTTGTGTTGTATGGTAATATGTTGTAAGGGGAGAGAAAGAACTATAGAAAATTATATAACAATTTTTTGTGAATTCAGCATTCTGTTAAGTAAAGTCTAAAGAATGGAATCCTTAATGGTAAATATTGAAGACATCTATAAGTCGATAGCTATCATCAATTCTCTATGGGTCAAAAGAGTTCATTTTAAATATCTAAGATTAGATGAGTCTATTTGGTTTTTCATGATGTATCTGATTATGACTAGGAAAAAAATGGAACTTTTCCTGCCAAAACTGTCCCAGTATACTGATTTTAAAATTCAGCACAATTTTCTGTAGTCTTTATTTGGAGAAGATTTACAGCACAAATGAATAAATAAATGAATAGACCATATCTGTTTGATTACCACTGATACTTCGTAGCAAAGTGAGTACTATTTTGGACTTGATAATTTTTTATTGTGGAGAGTTTAACTGTGCATTATAGGATGTTTAGCAACTTCCCTGCCTTCTAACCCTAGATGCCAGTGGTACTCTTATCCCTAGTCATGATCAAAATCAAAATGTCTTTAGACATTGCCAGATATCCTCTAGGCAGCAAAATTGCTCCTGGTTAGAAACTATGTATGCTTTATACAGTCAGGACTGAATGGAACAGACTAGATATATGGAGTAGGTGTTCGTGGGGAGGGGCAGTGGAGTTGGGAAAAATATAAGGAAAGAGATATTCTTACGGGATGATCTAGCCCCACATGAGCTCTGCCCTGCATATCATCTAGGTGACTTCAAGGTTAGTTCCTTCGCCTTCTGCTGCCTGTGTGAGGTCTCCTAGGGCTGTTGTAACAAATTGTCACAAACTTGTTGGCTTAAAACAACAGAAATTAATTCTCTAATTGTTCTGGAGGCCAGAATTCCTAAATCAAAGTGCTGTGCTACCTCTGAACTTTCTAGGGAAGAATCTGTTCTTTGCCTCTTCCAGCTTCTGGTGGCTCCCCATTGGCTTGTGGCTGCATCACTCCTTCTCTTCTTCCTATCTGGCTTTTCTTCTGTCAGTTATGGAGTAGGACATCTGTCATTAGATTTAGGTCTCATACAGGTAATCCATGATGATCTCATCTCAAGACACTTAATTATATTTTTTTCCAAATAAAGTCACATTCATAAGTCCTATGGCATGGATGTATCTTTTAGGGGGGCCACCAATCAACCCACTACACTGCTTTAATCGAATACTTTGCAAGGCCATGGGAATTTATTTTCAGAGATTATAGCTTTGAGGAATGAAGCTAAACTTATATATCTTAGACCTGTCCTCACTAGAAAAGCATTCATAACCACATGCTTTTAGGACAATTTTTTGAGAGCCTCCGGAAAGCATGCTGTGTGGCAGGCATGAGTATTTGGATTGGTGCTGAGCATGGATGGGCTGAGAAATTACTGATACATGGTCAGTACAGATTTCAGCAGCATACATATTGAGTTAATGCTACTCAAAATTTCATTTTACTCTCGAGAGCCCTGTCAAGCGTCCCAGAACACTTAGCACCAAGCATTTAGCCTGCTGTGTTCCCAGGCAAACCCTCAGGCTTTTCTAAGCCTCTCCATTTCCTCAACTGTAAAATGGAGGATTTGGGCTAAGTGTTCTCTAAGGCTTCTTACAAATCTGTAGCTCTTTGACCACTTTTTAGTAACAGACAATTTTAGTATTATCTATGAACAATTAATTTAAAAATTATTTTTGAGAATCTGTGTGTAAAGGGCTATTCTTGACCCTGTGCTTCAATCCAAAATTAGGTATCCTCGATGAGCCTCTATTCCTCATGAGCTGTGAAATAAATCTACAACTTAGCATAATTAATAATATAAAGCATACTAGATAAATTTAAAATCAATAATACATTTAGTGTTACAAAATTTCAGAAGATTTTAGACAGAAAGCAGTTCCTTTTCCCATTCTTTGGCTGCTGCTGCCTGGAGTGTGTCTCCAGTGAACCCTTAAGTGAATTTCTGTCATTGCACCCAAGAGTCAGGCACACACACTCATTTGCATGCCAGTCTTGTACTATAAACTTACAAACTAACCTTCTGGAGGGCAAGGCTTATCTCTGATTATGTTACCATAGAAGGCGCTCAAGTAATATTTGTTGAATGAGAAAGTGACATGCCGCTCATGTGTGGTTATTCAACAGCATATCAATTCCCCTTTCCCTCCAGTTGCTAAGTTGTACAGTAACCCAATCTCCTCTCTACTCAGATTCTTACTGCTTTGTTTTGTTGACCATTGTATTTTTGCACTTCACCAAGTGTAAACCTTTTGAACATTTTTCGCATTCCTCTTCTGTAAGCATTACCTTCCATTTACCCAGAACATTTTTTTTTTCAAGTTCCCTGTTTTTCTAACCTTTGTGCTCCTGTATGGCCATTACCTAACCACAGTGCAGGCCCTTGAGGACTTGATTTGTTTTATGGGCTCCTGGATACTGTGGTGCAGTTGGTGAGCAGCTCTGTAATGCGAAACTGTGTCAAGCACTGTGAGAGATAAAAACGTGTGCCTGAGCACCAGCAAGGGCCCATGAAGGAGGAGCAGAGGAAAGGGAATGGGCAACCTTTGTGTGGAGCAGGGAATGCAGTTTTAAACTGCAGCGACCTGTGAAACCCAATGCCATATTTTAATAGGCTGCTTTTACCAGCATCGCTGAGTGGGAAATAGCTCTGCAAATTGAGCTGGTTTTCTGTTTTTGAAACTCTGATTTTAGGCCATCCTGGCCAGAATCTCAATCTCACCCCAGGTCCCTCCTCAGTGGGGCAGAAGCAGACATAGAACAGAGCTAGAACAGTGGGACAGTGATATAGATTTGACTGCTTTGCAAGTCAAATGTTGGCCCCAGTGGATGGGACGAAGAGTGCACGGGGATGGGAAAAAGGCAACAAAGACTCCCATCAAAGCCACCTGAGCATCAGTTATCTTCACCCCCTCAGATTCTTTTGTGTCGCCAACTGATGAGATCTTGATTCTCATGTTTCTAGACAAGATAAAAAGCAAAAGTACTAATGAGTTTATTAGAAAATTTGTTCAAAATAAAGAAATGGAGAGTTTAAGTGATGCTTATGGAAAAAGTTTTAGAAGACTAACTGTATCTGTTAGAGTTTATTTCTAATTTTCTGAGAAGCCCGATCTCTAAAATATATTATAAATATATGGATTTAGGGGAGGCATTTGATGCACAATTCATCATACTTGTATAACATGATAAAGAAGGATTGGGTAGGAATTTATAGTGGATGGGATATAATGGTTACCGGGGTATATCTAAGAGTGATTAATGGATTCATGCCAACATGGGTGCAGGTCTCTAAACGTGCGCCGTAGGACTCCATGCCCAGCTCTGCCTCAGTTATTCTTTTTTTCAGTAAACGGGAAAATGACACAGATGGCACATTAGGTAAATTTGCACATTCTAATTGGCAAAATTCCTTAGACTGTGTTCCCCCATCTATAAAATAAGGTTGTTAGTATCTTTTCTCCCTACCTCATAGTTCGATATGAAAATTAAATAAAGTAACAAATGTAGAAGAGTTCTGGAATTTATAAACAAAGTTCCTTTAAAAATGCAAGTTTTTAATTTGGTTATTTGTTATGCTGTTGAATTATTTTTTAAAATCAGTGAAATGTTGGAACGCCTGTAATTGAGACAGCCTAGGTTGATAGAGGAAATTTTGTAGTAAGAATACGATCATAGAGGATTCTTTTGATAAGATATTTATATTGCTGAAATGTTGTCTTTTCAGTGAGGCCATACTCAAAGTTATAACTCTTTTCTATAATCAATCCCTATCCTACTTCCTTGCTTTATTTTCGACCATAGGACTTATCACCATCTGACGTATTAAATATTTTACTTATTTAGTTTAATATAAATAAATCTTTTACCTGGAAGGGGCCTGCCCACAGTAGAAGCTTGTAATTATTTGTCGAATGAAGGAAGGATGAATGAAAGCATCTCGTGATCACTGTCATCTGGGTTTGCTCTTTAGGCATGATGATGCCAAACGAAGTCCAAAGTCCTGGCTTGCTTGTGGAACTTCCTCCTATGGCCCAGAGAAGGGAGCAAGAAGATTTGCCCTTATACCAACTCCCCAGGAACCGAGTTGTTTCCAGGACCTCAGCATACACAGGAATGTGTTCTTCTAGATATGCCACTGATGCATAGTATGATATCTTTGCTTTTTTTCTTTTACATGATAAAATAATTCTTTTTGCTTCTATTAAAAAAACCAAACAAACCAGTATGATTATGGTGGAACATTTGGAAAATACTGAAAATTGTTATGAATAAAATCCACTATATTAGATAATTACTATAATTTCACATATATAAAATTGTACCATATATACAATTTTGTATTCTTGCAGTTGTGTGCAAAATGAATTACATAATTTGCTTAGAAAACGGGAGGTTAATTACGAGTTTATCTTAACAGTTTAAGCAAGAAGTGCTAAAGGACAAGAGAGAATCTATAGGAATTGGTAACTAATAACATGTTGGGAGTGAGAGGGAATAGTTTAGGATGACTTGTATTTTCAGACTGGGAAACTAAATGGATAGCGGGACCATTAATTCTTTGACATAAGATTATAAGAGCATAAAAGGTTGGAAGGGAAAATAACAAGTTCAATTTGAGACATGTGGAGGGTTCAGGTGAACATAAGACAACAAAATGAAGTGGAGTCAGATACATGGTTCTGGAGATGAATGATGAGGTCTACCCTTACGTGGATAATTGGGAGCAAGAAATGTGAAACTCCTGGACTTGAGTAGTCATCCAGGGGAAGCTCAAGTAATAAAAAGAGCATAGGGCCAAAATTGGAGACCTGCAAAGCAGCAATATTAAAGGTGTGAATGGAAGAATAATATAGTGAAGTGGAATGAACAAAAGTTAAAAGGACATTGATGAACTAGAGATTGACATAGAAACTAAGGGAAGAGAGCATTTTAACAAAAAGATCATTACAGACTATAGTCGCATGCTGCAGAGAGGTCAAGGTAAATAAAATGAGAAAATGTTCATGGGGCTTGGCCACATGGCCCATGGTGAGCACAGAACACTTTCGTTAGTGTGGAAATCAGAGAGTAATGGGTTAAAAAATTGAACAAAAGGTCAGAAATTGGACATAGAGCAGACTGGTATTTTGAAAGTCCTGATCACGAAAAGAGGCAGGTTGAATGCATGTTACCTAGACAACTGGAAGGTATTGTTAGATTGAGACAAGGGGGATTTATATATGTATACATACACACATATACATGTGTGTGTATGTGTACCTTTCTGTGAAGTATCCAGAAAAAGAATATGTAGATGCCAGAAAGGGGGTAATTAAACATAGTCCTTAGAGAGGGTGGAGGGAGAGGAGGACGTTGCCCACCTAGAGAGATTAACCTTTGACAGTTTGATGGGAGGAAGTTCACCTCCTCCACCGAGACAGATGCCAGGGATGAAAGGAAAGGAAGAGCACAGGCACTGTTTGTAACTATGGGCAGGAATCCAAAGTAATTTTTGCCCAGTAACCTTGATTTTTTTTTTTCCTCTGTCATTTAGGATAAAAAGCTATTTACTAAAAGTGATGGGGTGCCAATAAAAGTAGGCATTAAAAGGAGAGATGTCAGAGTAGAGATTAACTTTCGAACAAGGGTAAACAGTAATGGTTTAGTGGTGGAAGGAAATTTAGAAAAATATTGACCCCCTTTTCCATCTTCCCGGGGAATGAGAGAATGGGCACCACCCACTTGAGTGTGGTATCCGTGGTAGAGAACCAGAGCTGTTGAGAAAAAAGAGGAGGTTGTGAGGATATTCAGTGAAGAGGTTAGGGTGTGGAGTAGTTTCTTTACAGTTCAAGGAGATTCTACGAAGTGTGACAGGTAGTTTGACTGGGCGGGCCTTAGGGGTGCTATGTCTGAAGGAGAAACCGGAACTTCTTAGGGCTGTGAGTGCAGGAGAGGAGAAGCGAAAAAGAGGAGTTGGAGGTATTGGCAAAGCATAACAGGGATGAGCGTGATAGGATGGGATTAACTGGCCCTAATGTATTTATTAAAACCTTAATTCAAGAATGATTTTGTGTTAGTATATGATATCAACACAAAATGATATCATCTTCTGTTCAGCTACCTGAGGCCTTCGCCTACAGTTTTAGATAGAAACTTCATCTGTGCTTTTGCATAGCTCATGTCTGAGTGGAAAGGAAAGACAGACAGACCTAACTGTTTGGAGAAGTCTGGTGGCTTTTCACTTAGCAGAACTGGACCAGTGTTCAAAAGAGGAGGTGCTGACAGGCCCTGTGTCCTAGAGTCCGAACCAGTTCCCGGAGAAACAGACAGTGTTAAACAAGCAACGGATTTGTTTCTTTAGGAGAGATGCCTGGAAGTCGAAGTACTAGAAGAGTTAGGAATATATTTTGTTACTTTTTATGTGGTCAAATTACTTTTCAAATGAGACACCTTTGTGTTTTAAATTTCCCTTGTGCTTAGTGTTAATAATTGAATCTGGCTGAAGAATTCAGAAAGGGGGCTTCTCTAAAGCTGTAGAACTCTTAACTGTAGAATTGAAAAAGATCACAACAAATTTCCAAGCCCACCCCCTCCTTCCTCCTACAGAGGACATATCAGTTTTGTCTTACTCAATTCTCCCAGCTTCAGAGAGGGAAGATAGTCTTTACTCTTATCCCATTGCTTTTTCTCCTAAAGTGGGTGCTTCAACAAGCTGATTTCTTATGCAGGCATAAGCATTTAAGGGCTCCAACCTAACTTCGTCTTGGGAGATCAGTCTTGCAAAATGAAAGTTGTTATTTTGGCTCGCTCTCATAAATTCAGGATATATTTAAATCTCAGCAGGTTCCAGGAGAGTTCCTGTAAATCATATTACCCCATTTAATCTTTTAGAGTATGCCCCATAAAGTTAGGGTCATAGGTGACTATTTATGGCCGCTCAGGAGCCTTCCTGAGTAATGCATAGATTCTTTTGGAATACAGTCCTTGAGATCATCCGAGTGTCACAAAGTACTAAAAGTTATTTTAGAGTTTCTTCTTTGCATTAGTGTTAGTGTAGACCCAGCAGTGTTAGTTAATATGCACTGTGGTTTTATATCAAGCCAAATTCTATGTTCAGAGGCAGGAATAGTATTAAGAGGTCATGTGCACCTTAAAATTGAGGCTCTCTAGGAAGGGGATTGTAGGCAGGTAGGGTAGGATAACTCTAGAAGGAATCCGAGTGATTTTGTTCCAAGTATTCTTCTTCTTCATAAGGTTACTGGGATCATGTCTTCAGAACTCAACTGGCTTTAGTCTTTTTCTAATTCATCTCTGTCATCATCTGCTGCCTAATAACGTGGGGGCCCATAATGGGAGACATGCATGTTTCTCAGACTAATAGCATATCTGCAGTATAGATATATTGTGGGTGCTATTTCCTCTGTTATTTATAACTACGTGACCCTGAGAAGGTTTCCCTCATGTCTGCATTTCCTCACTTATAAAGTAGGTGGTTCTACAGAATAAATGAATGAATATAAAGGGCTTTATAGAAAGCCTCGAACATAGTAAATGTTTAATGGAAGGTTGGCAGTGATGCTAGATGACAGTGATAGACTCATGGGCCCTGAGGTGTATCTGAGGGAATATTCATTGTTGCTGAGTTTTTAAAAAACACTCCAAGAGATTGTAGGGTTTTTTGTTCGTTTTTGTAATGAAACAGGATCAACTCACAGTAAGTTAAATAAGGTGTCAGAGACTAAAGCCTTGGTAGGAGGATGAACTTGAGATGAAAAAAATATTTAAAACTTAAAAAAAAAAAGTGTTGTAGGTATAATAGGATATAAATGAAAAGAAATACTTTCACATGTTAGATAATTTGTTAGGAATATCGGAGGTAGAAGAGGAGGCAGGGTGTCATAGTTGGGGAAAGGATTAAATGAGTTAATGTTATATTTTGAGCTCCCAATACAGTGCCTGGCATTTAGTGCCTTCTAAATAAATGATGGATATCTAATAGGTTTTCCTTTGAGATAAACTGCCAAAAATTATGTGTAAATTCAGAACATTAGTAGGAGGCTGAGGATAAGGGAAAAATAAATATGTGCATTTGAGAGAGGACTCCTCTGGAATGTTTCAGTTGGGAGGGAAAAAGGGAGGTGTGCGGTATAAGTGTGTTGCAGCTATTGTCCACATTGCAGGTGAAGACAAATGTGAAATTAGGACAGGAGGTACATAGGAATATTACACCAGTGCCTTCGAGACTATAATTAGATCTTTGATTACTGATTCAGACTATACAGAAGAGCGAAAGAGAAGTAAGGCTGACCTAAAGAAACAAGTTATGCTTTATGGCTTGAACACAATTTTACATATTATTGAAATGCACAAATTTTAAGGAACAGTTTCCTTAATTTTGATAAAGGTATACATTCATGTTACCAACACTCCAATCAAGATACAGAACGTTTCTATCACCCCAGAAATTTCCCCTTGCCCTTGGCAGTGTCTGGCCCCAGGCAACTACTAATGTGACTTCTGATACTGTAAATTATTTTTCCTATTCTACAGCTCATGTAAATGTAATCATACAGTGAGTACTTTTTGTATCTGTCTCCTTTCGCTCAACACCATGTCTATATCATTCTAAGCATTAATGTAAGAGAATGTTTCATTCTTTATGTATACTAGTATCAGGTAATAATTTGCTTTGAAACCTTAAAATCATAGTGTAACATCTGTATAAGTAACTTTACTAGTTTGGAAAACACTAGTGCCCATTCTTCCTGGTTTTGAACACTCAATATGTCCTGTGGTGTGTGACAGAAAATTGCCACGTAGAATCTAATTTAAAGAGGTAAAAGAGGTCTACGGCCATGCCACCCTGAACAAGCCCGATCCCGTCCGATCTCGGAAGCTAAGCAGGGTCAGGCGCAGTTAGTACTTGGATGGGAGACCACCTAGGAAGACCAAGTGCTGTAGGCGTAAAAAATAAAAAAATAAGGGATTGTTAGCTGACAAAGTCCTTGCAATCTGTGAGGTCAAGCAAGGGTTGCCTCACCTAAAAAAAAAAAAAAAAGTTAAAAGAGATAATCGAGATAACTTAGTCATAACCAGAATTCTTCCTGCTTACATTATTTTAGGGTGTGAGTTTACTTGACTCTCATATGGCTTAGTATGTAGAAATTTTATATGAAAAAAGATAATATTGAAAAGGAGAGGTCACCTTGGCTATCTGGATTCATCTGATTTTTATATGATGTTGAAGTTTTTATTTGCAAAGAGATTGTATATCATGAGCAAGTCTTACTATTAATAACTACCTGTTCACTAATGAGGCATTCCATCTTTCTTCCCAGATCTGTAAAGAATGATAACTCTGGGCATTTGTAAAAAGGTCTAAAATAAAAAGCATTGTTTTTATTGGATGGTTAATTCCTTTGAGAGAAAACTGCTTATGAAACTGGTGAAATGTAAGAGGCAAATTTTGATTATTTTAAGATTTAAGATTCTAACTGATTCAGCTGTTGACTGTGTTTAATCACAGTACAACTTATAAAATTTGAAGTTGGAAATCCCTTGTTGAAGTTTTAAATATGTTTGTGAAAATTTACATTTTAATATGTGCAGTAAAAATATCTTACTTTCTCAGTTAAATTTTATTTTGGGTTAAAAGGTGTATGCATTCATCAATGTAAAGTGACTACATTAGTTTGTATAGTTGTTCATCTCCTGTGACTGTATTTCCAAAAGTAATCATGCTATTTGGATAAACTTTTGCAAGTTTTATCTCCTGTTAGAAAAAATAATCTGATTAAAATATGTGTACACCAACTTCTTGAAGAAAGATCATATGCTTTGAAAAAGTCAGTGAGTCTTTTCCAACAAAGTAACCTTTTCATTACATACTTTATCTAAAATTTTTGATATTCTAGATAGAGTGCCCCAACCCGTCCCCCTTTAGTTTGTATGTAAAAGCTAGCAGTTTAGGATATTTTTGGTTTTTATTTTTATTTTTAATAGACAAAGTAGTAGTTTATACTAATATGAAAGCTTGGCTTCAATTCTATTTTAGTTTTTTTTTTAAGTGCAGAATTTAATTCCTATAATGATAGTATACATGTACCATGAAAAAAATGTGTATGTGGTTTTTTTTTTTTCCCCCTAATGCCTACTTTGAACTGGTTTTGCTCACAACACCTCTGACACCAAATGTGTGAGTTTTTCTCTCCACTAACAACCAATTCTCTGATTCTCTGGACACTAATTGGGTATCCTACAATTCAGTTCCAATCCGACACTAAACTACTTGGTTAGTGCAGACCTCACAGGGTAAGGGTTCAGACCCTTTCCTCAGGTTCGCAAGGATAACTGACAGAACTTAGGATACAACTTGAGAATAGCCAAGTGGAAGAGAGGGCAAGGTATTAAGGGGAAGATGCACACAGCTTCCATGTCTTCTCAGGGCACATCTCCCTCCCAGTACCTTGATGTGTTTTCCAGCCCGGAGGCTCTTCAAACCCTAAAAGGGGTTTTTATGAAGGTTCCATTACATAGGAATGATTGATTACATCATTGGTCACTGGTGAATGATCTCAATCTCTAGCCCCTCTCCCCTTCCAAAAAGTGAGACTGAAAGTTCTAACTCTAATTACCTGATTATTTCTCTGGCAGCAGCGCCCATCCTCAAGCTATCTAAGGTCCTCCAGGTATGGTTGAAAGGAGCTTGTGATTAATAACCAAAGATGTTCCTATCACCCCTACCACTCAGGAAATTCTTAGGATTTTAGAAGTTCTATGTCAGGAACCAGGACAAACAACAGATATTTATTATAATCACACTTGTCATGATTTGGGGTACAAGAAAGTGGAAATGGAGAGGAAGAAGGTTGCAGTGTTGGTTTGGTTTTTAGTTTTCAATCTTTAATATTTATTTTAAAGGGATTTCTAAAATATGGCAGAGCATGAGGATATTCTTTGCAATAATGTTCATACTCCAGAAAACAGGATATAATCTAAATGAATCATATTTGGGATAGCAGATAAATTACATCAATACTACAGACTATTAAGATGCTATTAAATAAAAAATGATGAAGATTATGATAATATGTGGGGGAAGTTTTGATACCAAAAGTAAAATAATTGCAAAGGAAATGAATATTGGTTGAGCCTCAGTTAAATGCCAGTCTTATTTAATCTTTGTTATTATTATATAGGGTAATCAAAACAAAAGTTTATGCTATGATTACAACTATCCAATGAACATATATGCACACGTGCAGAAAATAATGTGACATGATAAAGTGAAATCATGGTGGAATCATGGCTGTAACATTTAGGGGTTGCATTTGGAGGCTCATAAACAGAACTCCCCATACACACTTAGTGTGGCTTAACCAAACAGGGACTTAATTTTTTCCTTGTAAAAAGTCCTGAAGAAGGTGGTCTGTCAGGGTCTTAAAGACGTTCTTCCTTTCTGCTCTGCTGTCTTTAATATATTGATTTAGTCCTTATTGTTTCCTCATGATTTTAAGATGGATGCTTCACCACCAATATCATCTGTGCCTTGTAGGCAAGGAGAAGGGGAAGGGCATAGAGCAAAAGGCTCCTGCCAACTGATTCACCCTCCATTTTAATGAGTTTTCCTGGAAATCTCATCTAGGGGCTTTTGCCTCCATATCACCGATCAGAACTATGGCACACAGTTACTGTTAGCTGAAAGGAGGTCCAGAAAATATTATTTTTTTAGAGCTGGGCGTAGTGCCACCTGGAATAAAAGAGGGGTTCTGTTGGGAGAGAGGACATTAGATAAGTAAACAGCAAATATCTGCCAAGCTGTTTTTTCCCTAATGCTATGATGCTTTTAATCATAAAAAATAGACTGGCTAAGGCAAGAAGGCCATCTGGTAGTGGGTGAGATGTTAATGATTCCTAACAATCCCAATTTCTTAACTGATTTTTTGAATGTCTAGATTCTTTCAGCTTCTCCTTTTTACTCAGCCTTAAATCATTATATCCTAGAAAGTCTATAGTGTGGCAAGTAGATGGCCTTTGCTACATTTTACAGGACTTATTTGAGAGTTCAGAGAATAATGGAGCATTGAAACTTAGTATGAAAAGATTTGGATACTGTCAAGAGGTTATGTAGTATGTCTGAGCCTTTTCCAAACCTCAGTTTCTTGTGTGGTAATATAATAACATGATCTGCTGTGCTTACTTCACAGAGTTTTTGTGAAAATGAAATGAAAGAGGTAGTGGCCACATTTTTATATAGAGTAATACAGTTTATAATATCATACATATTACTTCATTTCGTCTTCCAAAGTCACGCACTTATTCTGTGGTGCCGATTAGACTGGAGCTCAGGACTCCTAACTTCTCTTCCAGATAATGTATACTAATGTCTCTGCTCTATTAGGTAGCACTACTTTTATAGCTAACTGCTCTGTAATTCAGCATTGTATGTTATCCAGTTAAGCGGTTCCATACTAATATAACTTGATGGGTGAAGTTATGATGGTGGTAAATGGGAGTATCAAATTAGGTAATATTAAGTTAATCTCTCTGTAAACGGAAAAGTGCTGTATAACTACATAAAATATTCATGGGATACAAATGATGGGAATTATTTAGTGTTAGAGTAACAGAAAAATCTACAAAGAGGGAGTATATTTACTGACTGTTTAGTGATTTATGTTGGTTTATACTGGACTGTTCTCAGCTGGTCGATCAGTATCAAGTTTTAAGGAATATATATAGATAAAGACACAAATGTAAAATTGTACAAACCAAACACAATTTTTGAAAATAGCATATAGAGTGTCACCAATAAAAATGTTTATAATAATAATGTGATCTGGTGCTGTGTGAACATTTGTTGAGTTGAACATTAAAGCAATATATTTTTGCTTTGTATAGACATTTCGCCATTGATGTAAATATTTTAAAAGCTTAAAAATTAAGAACTATTTATGTATAGATTGCACAATTTCAAACTTTCCAAGAACATTTAATAACAAGAGTGTGTTTTATAAGTTGTGTGTGTATTTTTTTTTTCCTTTCTCCTTCCTCAGCGAGTTACCTGAGAGAGAAGAAGGTGAAGGAGAAGAAACTCCAAACTTCAGCCACTGGGGTCCACCAAGAATGTATGTTGCTGACATTATTGGCTTTCTCAATAGGAGTCACAATCAGTAGCTCTTTTCTTTAACTTAATGCTGTCATTCGGTCATTCTCTAATGACTGCGAAACTGCTATACTTACGTGTAGGCTGGCCTAAATTTTAATTTCATTTTGTCTTACCTAAATAGAGATTTTTAGTGAGGCAAAATGATTGTGACCAATATTAGGAAAATCTTTATCATACTTTCAGAGAAAACAATTTACAAATGTCTATCTATGATAATAACCAATGAACTAAGTGTAGTTTATCCCTGCATCACTAAGCAGGACTGGTAGGGCTGCCTTGAATGTAGTAAAGCTGCTTTCTTTATAAACAACAGTTGTTGAGGCTTCTGTCATATATCAGTTTACCTCTACCCTTCTCCTCTTAATGTTAGTCCAAGTTTGTGCCTTGTTCGAGCTAACAGAATGTGTTGGACCCTCCTTCCCTTGGATACACAATTTTATGTAGTTATCAGGGCTGTGCATTATTAAGATTATAAAACTCTTCCTTTAGCTACTCTCTCTGTTCTTCATGCATTATCAATTCCACCATGCCCACAAAGTGTCTGTTTTTTTTCTTACGCTTCTGAGTTTTGTCTTAAAAACTCTCAAGAGCTCTCTGTTAAGCTACTTTTTTGAGTTAATTTTGACGATGTCTGTGCAGTTTGGGCAAAATTCATAATATTTTGAGGGGCAAGTTTTATTCCATACTTTTTAAAAAATGATGTGGAGGTAGGAAGAAAACTGTCCTGTCTTCGGAGCAGATAAAATCTGTCTTCCACTTAAAGAAGCACAAGTTAAACCTGCTGGCTGGGAAAAGCGGCTTGGACAACGAGCCTCTCAGCGGCAAATTTATTTTTTTATGAAAGTCTGTGCCTTTTGCCAAAATGATATACATGACTTTCTTGATTTTTCACCTATTTGGTATTTCCTTAATCCATTCTTTGCTAATGTTATGGATGTAGATGAAAAGGACTAACCATAGAAAACATTGCGGTAGGGAATGGGAACATTAAGGCCTAGCTAAATCTCTCAATATTGAATTGTGTTTATTGTTTAAGAATCTATCTTTTTCTGAATTTAAGCTTTCATGTGCCATGAAATATGGGTAATATCTTATAATTTTGAAACTAGGTACAATTTCTATAACATTTATAAAAATATATTTAGGAAATACATAACATTTGAGTCACAAGATATGGTACAAATCGAACACTTACAGCAAAAGCCTAACAAATTAAATGAATTTGTTCATGAGTGAATTTTTCTTTTTCTTTTTTACAGTGTTGAGATTTTTAGAGAACCCGATGTGTCTCTTGGTATTAGTATTGTTGGTGGACAAACCGTTATAAAACGCCTAAAGAATGGAGAGGAGCTTAAAGGCATATTTATCAAACAAGTTTTAGAAGATAGTCCAGCAGGAAAAACAAATGCTCTTAAAACTGGAGATAAAATACTTGAGGTAAATGATGTTAAAATTCTGTTTTCGTTTGGAACGTACTCTAAGACAGTAAAATAGTCATTAAGCTAGAAGTCCTTCCTTCATGGGTTAGGGAATATGTGTGTACAATTGATGTCTTTTATTTAGATGCCTAAGTTTGTATGTTGTTGGCACCGTTTTATGAGATTCTGAAGTCGGGGTCATAGCATATCAAACAATAAAACAAAAAGCCTCACCTGACCGAAAAAAAACTTTCAAACTTTAACAGGATGAAGCAGATGGTGGGCATCATGCTTCTCCCACAGTCTTTAACAAGCTCTAAATTTTATAAATATGTGTCAGTGGGGTAGCCATGTTTGTCCTCCCAGAGTCGACCCTGGAAGTTGAAAACTCCATTGAGAAAGAGGTGAATCCATCGTTCACATGTGGTAGAGCTGTGTTTTAAGGGTGCATCAAGGCACTGAGAGTGTTCTGAGATCTGAATCTGATACATTTCTTTGCATTGGGTTTATTGGATGACACCATATTGAATATCTTCAATCCCAGAATCTGCTCATTCTTGATTCATACATTATGATGCTGAGCATCGGCTGTGGTGTTTTAGCCCTGAGAGAGTGAAGAGAGCCATGGAGGAGGTCATAGGCTAGTCTAGATTGTCCTGTTTATTTTCTGTTTGTTCTTAGAAAAGTAATAAACCCACCTTATTTTCAGTTTTCAAATAAAATAGAAATGAGGATTCAAAACCCTTAGCATCATTGTGAAGATTAAATCAAAGAATCACATAAAACTGCTCTGTATATACAAATTTCAGGTTGTATTTATGTTTGTGAAATTTTAAAAAATAAACAAACATTTAAAACACACTGGGGATATGGCAGTGAAGAAAATGACCAAAAATCTCTTCTCTTATGGAATTTATGTGATAGTAGGGAAGATAGAAAATACACTAAGTAGGTAAAATGTAGAATGTTAATTATAATAAGTAGCTATGGAGGATGATGGGTAGTGAAGGCAGTAGTTGCAATGAATAGATTTGCTATAGAAGATGATATTGGGACAAATATAGGAAGTGAGAGAGTGAGCCATATGGTTTTGGGGGGGAAAAAGGCTCCAGGCAGAGGGAACTAAAGTGTAAAAATTCTGTGGTAGGAGCTTGTCTCGGTGTGTTGAAGGAATGGAAAGAAGTCCCCAGTTGCCAGTGTAGAGTGAATGAGAGCAGGTAGATGAGAGAAGGTCTGAGGTAATGGGAGGACAAGTCATGTAGAACTTGGGAGGTCATCCACTCAGGATGCAATGAGAATCCATTAGAAAATTAATGAACATGGACAGTAGACTGGTGGTTACCAGAGAGTAGGGAGGAAGGGTGAGTTGGGAAAAGAAGATTAATGAATACATACACATTTTTTAAAAGGATACTCTGGCTTCTGGGGCAAGTGTGGTTTCTTTTATTTAGCATTTGCATTGTACTTTGTTTTTATTCTTTCCTTAATTTTTACCCCTTATTTGTGATTTTGTTTTACATACAACTGGATTTTGCTTTTTAAAAAATCTAAATTGATAATCTTCATCTAGTGAATAAGTATCATTCATTCATTTTTAATTTTGATTACTGACATATTTGAACTTAATTGTTAAATATATATGTTGTATTTTGTTTTATTGTTTTTCCCATAACTTTCTGTTTTGAAATAATTATAGATTCGTAGGAAATTGCAAATAAATATACAAGGAAGTTCCATGTACACTTTCCTCACCCTCCCTCAATGTTAATGTCATACAGAACTGTAGTACAATGGCAAAACCAAAATTACTGATATTGACACAATTCAATTACTGATATTGACCTTATTCAGATATCACCTTATTCAGTTATACATGCACTCGTGTGTATGTGTGCATGTGTGTGTGTGTAGCTCTAGAGTTTTATCAAATGTGTTGCCTTGTGTCACCCCACCACAATCAAGAAACTCAGCTATATCATCACCTCAGGACTCCTGTCTGTTAACCCTCTATAGCCACTCCTCTTCCCTCTCTCCCCATCTCTAATCTCTGGCAAGCACTAATCTGTTTCTCCATGTCTATAATTTTGTTATTTCACAGTTGTCACATAAATGGAATTATGTGTTATATATCTTTTTGAGACTGGCTTTTTTCACTCAGTGTAATTTTGTTAAAGTTCATTCAATTTGCTGTGTCTAACAACAATTCATTCCTTTTTATGGCTGAATAGTATTCTGTGGTATGGAGGTACTACAGTTTAATCATTCACCCATTAAAAGACATTTGAGAAGTTTCCATTTCTTGGCTATTATGAATAAAGTTCTTATAAACATTTGTATACAAGTGCCTAACTGAAAATAAGTCTTTGTTTCTCTGGGATAAATGCCCAAGAGTACAATTGCTGGGTTGTATGGTAAGTTCATTTTTAGTTTTGAAAGGAACTATCAAACTATTTTTCAGAATGGCTGTACCATTTTACATTCCCACCCGCAATGTATGAATGATCCAATTTTTCTGCATCCTCACCAACATTTGATGTTGTCACTAGTTTTCATTTTAGCTATTCTGATAGGCATTTAGTGATATCTTATTATTATTATTTTTTTAATTTCATTTCTCTAATGGCTTATGTTTAATGACAAAGAACTTTTTATGTGTATCCTCTTCAGTGAAATGTTCTTGCATGTCTTTTTCCCGTTTTCTAATTGGATTGTTCATTGTTTTATCTTTTTAAATTTTTGTGCCTTTTTACCCTCATCTTTCTCTGCTGTCAGTAGAATATAAAATATTCTCTCACTTATCCATCATTATGTTTACACATACTAATAAAACCTACTGTTTTGTCTCACATTTAATGGCTTATATTTCTTTAAGCTCAGCAGAATCGAAATGTTACACTTAAATATACATTTTGTCAAGCCAAATGAGTCATCTGTTTACTTTTTTCCTTGTGAAAATTGTTACTTGTTTGTTTTGTTTTTAAGTAACACTAAATAATCATTTCTCTCTATCTTGAAACAATTGCATGAAGGATGTAGGTCCATGTAAAGAATTTTTTAGACCAGGAAGTTTGAATTTAATTTAATTTTTAGAAACAGATCTTCATCTGTGCAAATGTACACAGTTTTGGGTGATAATTTTAAAGCTGAGAAAAACTAAAATATTTTCTCTTGTAATATGACAGAATTCCATTTTTTACTAACTTCTCAACTTTAGTGATTCCCATTTAACATTGTGAAAATCTGTGTTAGGGAAACCAAAGCCAATTATTACTGGAAGATGAAGTAATTCTCATATAGCCTCTACTTCTGTTATTGATGAATGTTTTGGATATTAGGTTATTCCTAAGACGCTTCCTCAAACTCTTGTGATAGCTTTAAGCTTCACTTGGATGGGAGACCACCTGGGAAGACCAGATGCTGTAGGCATGAAAAATAAAAAAATAAGGGATTGTAAGCTGACAAGGTCTTTGCAATCTGTGAGGTCAACCAAGGGTTGCCTCGCCTGAAAAAAAAAAAAAAAAGATTCAGTGATTGATCATTCTGATCACTCTGTTGGATATACTTCCAACTCCTTTGATCCTCTTTCCTTTCACTGAACTTGTGTGGGAGAACCACATCCTAGTTAAATGCAATTCTTTGCTTCTTTCATGTCTCTAGCATTGCTGGAGAAAATAACCACCATGCTGTCTGGTCTCATTTTAAATTAATGACCACCCCCTCAAGTGAGTCTTTAGTTCTGCTCTGAAGTCCTGCAATATTTGCCTAGTTGTTTCATTCTACTTGTGCAGGTAACTATTTCAGACCTCCTGTACCTTCTTATCAGTCTTAATCTCAGTTTATGGTCCTTGTTTCTTATTTTATTGAGAAAATAGAAGCTGTCAAAAAGGAACTTCCCTTTGCTCCCACTGCATACTAAATCTTTTTTCTAATGGTATCTGTAACAACAAATGAACAGTTTGTGCTTATGTCTAAAGCTAATCTCTGTCACTTGTGCAGTAGAAGTCATTACCTCTTCACTGTCCAAGTATCTGCTTCTACAGTTGCTACTTTTCTATCATTAACTTTTTCCTTTCCACTGCATCATTATTGCTATAATATCTCCCATCTTAAAAACAAAAACCTACCTTGATCTCACATCCTTCTCCACACACATTCCTATTTCTTTGCCCCCCTCATAGTAAAGCAGTTTTCACAGATTGTCACTATCTACTGACCATAAGCCATCTCAACATTTACCAATGCTTTGTTACATTATTGGTTTGAAAAACTGGTTCTGTTAAATATGTTTGGCAAATACAGAATACTCTTAGAGATTATAGGCATGTTTCCAGGTTAGGTTCTCTGAGACTTGTATAATAAGGAACCATTTACACTTACCCAATTTGTTGAACATAGGACACTTTTAGTAAAAGAACCTAAGGATGTTTTCATACTTCTTTTTGACCATAATTTAAGAAATGTTCAACTGCTCAATTGTGATAAAGGACAGTTTGCTGAAAATATCATTCTTCTCAGTTTGAGAAGAGTCCAGAGAGACCATGTTCTCTCCTCTGGCCCCACACAAAACTATGTACTGTGTTAGTGGCAGAGGTGACATTATAAGCTCAGAAGCTTCATAAGGTTCTGTTACTGACTGAGCTACAGTTTTCAACAATAATAGTTAGCTAGGACTGTTGTTATTAAGATTTTTGTCTTATTTCCTTTTCTTGAAAGTGAAATGTTATTTTCCATAAATGTATTCTAAACAGCAAAGCTTTTTATGAGCCAGTCTTTTTTTTTTCTAATTCATTAGATTCTGGCAGGTCTCATAACTAGATAATACACATGAACTTTGAATTAACCTACCCACAGTATCTACTGCCTTTCTAATTGAAATAAATTACTTCTGTGTTATAGGTGTCTGGAGTAGATTTGCAGAATGCCTCACACAGTGAAGCAGTCGAGGCCATTAAGAATGCAGGAAATCCCGTGGTGTTCGTTGTTCAGAGCTTGTCATCCACTCCAAGAGTAAGCTTTAGTTTATACTTTCAAAAAGTTTAAGAATATTCTCTGTATCTGTAAACTAAGCTTTAGCCTCCAAGTATTTTTTCGCATATTTTCATTGTTATGCTACTGCTACCTAGAAAAAGCATTGGCTTCATACATATTTAGTTAGTGATTTCAATTTCTCCCCCTTTTTTTTTCCTCTCTTATTTTGATCCCCTCGTTAAATGTGAGTCATCACAGTGTGCACTGGTTTAAATTAGGCTGTGGAGTCAAGCAGGCCCATTTTCAATCCCTTGTTCCCCTATGTGCCAGCTCTGCTAACTCGGAGGCAAGTTACTTAACTTTTCTGAGCCAGTTATTTTGTTTATAGAATACTTGGAACATAAAGAGGATCAGGTATAAAAACATTCTAGAGATACTATCAAATGTTCCGTATATTTATTAAAACGTGTGAAAATACAAACACGTTGTATTGTTGTGTGTTCTAATGGAGGTTCCAAATTCAAAAATAGCAGTATTTAATCATAAAAATTTTTTTCTGAAATAAATCACTGTTCGTGTATGGAATTAGAACTCTGATTCGCAGATGTCGGTGGCAAGATGTGCATTTTATATTGTAATTTGCAGCAGAAATGGCACCCTTAAGCCCTATAACTGGAAGCAGTGTTGGTTTTTTTTTTTTTTAATAATGAAAGACAGCTGTTCAAAACATAGGTCCTTCTGAACAGTAGAAAAACTGTACATATTTTTCAAAAATTTGCTTTGCAATACAGTAATGCAGTGCTTTTCAATCTTCTATACGTTAAGATATACAGAAAATAATATTCATATGCTAAACTGAACAAACAGATGTCTGGCTGCCCCAAGGGCAGAGGCATCAGTATGCTACTGTGACATACTTGTACCTTGCCTGCACCCAGTGGGCTGCAGCCTCACCCCACTTGAGTCCTCTGTTGTTGTTTACTGTATTGCAGTTCAGTCCCTTTCTGTCTTATCACTGTGTTTACACCATCGGGACTAATTGAGAATGGTGAACTAAATAAAGCCTCATTTTTATGCAATTCAAATTTCAAGATTTTTTGGATTCTACTTTTTAACATTGAAATAATATTGAAAAAGTAGTTAATAATATCACTTTTATTTTTGGAGTTCAGTAGGAAAATTGGCCAAATTATTCCTTACTAAATGCTAATTCCAAAGAAACCACTTTGAGCTAGAATGAGCCAATCAGATTATACATTTATGTGGCCACTTGTGAATGCTGTGCTGAAAAATGTTGAAAGCATTCAAATAGGTTATAAACCAAAAAGGCCAGGCTTTCAACCCACCCTTTGCTGGTGAGCTGAGGTGGAAATTTTCACTTGGATGACATAAACAGTGTAATTTCTTTCAACTCTAAAAAAAGGAAAATCTCTTCAGCATCCTGCCATGCTCAAGTCACTTATCCCCATACAGCATAACAGACTGCCACATTGTACATTTGGGTCATCAAGCATTGAACTATCCGTGGGAGTCTATTCAGGTGATGATGTTAATTGCTGTGTCAATGCCTTGTTCCATTTTTTTAGGCACAAAATGATTCCTGTTGAATGAGGCAATGAAAGGAATCAAGTTTCATGTCTTTGCAAAATGGTGTTCTCTTCAGCTTATTGTTGCAAGTAGTAGTGATCATCACAGAAACAGGAAATACAGCAAAATGCTTAATCATTTTTGACCAGTTTACTTTACTTTGAGAGTTTCCTCAAAGCCTCCGAAAGAAGTCATTTCCTAATGTTGAGACCATCAAAGGCCCTATGCCTAACTGTGCCTTGGTCATGTGGAAATTTTCATCAACATCATGAATTGAGCAGTGGTGTTTAAATTTGTACTTTCCTTTGAATTATCATTTTTTATACTTGTGCTTTTCACAGATGCTTTAAGAATATCATTAATACATTACTTTTTTAAGCTTTTTCTCCTGTTTCTCGATTGTATTTTAAGCATATTAGTTGGAATTGTGTGTATCCATTTAGATTGACTTAGTAAATGCTTATTTAAGAGCAGAACCCATGATTTATAGTGTACTTATGTAGAAAGTTTTTATGCCAAGGTAATTTTTTCCCACTTAGTAACATAACTCCATTTCATAGTGGCATCACATATATTTTTTTTTAATGTTCAAAAGTAAACCCTTTTGAAGTTGGGGCTATCCCTTCAGTTCATTAAATTTATTATCATGCATTTTTTTTCCCTGTATTTCATTTGTACTTCCTAGTATTATTATTTCATAATGTTGCTTACATTTTTTTGATACAGTACATTTTGTATATTAATCAATCATATTTTTTACTTTCACAAGAAAAAGGCTTTCTTCTACTTTTCTTAAAGATATAATCTTGATAAGCCTTTTGTCTTCCAAATTTTGCTAATTATATTTATATAGAAATATAGTTTTCTTATTTGAAAAGTAAATGGTATAAACCTTATGAACAGCAACTGACATTCTGTCCCATCCTAAAGCTTCTACTGTTCAGCCTCAGCTGGTTTTTTCATGGGAAAAAGTACGTCCAGTAAGGGCAGATATCCTGACTTGTCAGGGAAACAAAGTGTTCTGTTTAGTTTTAAGATTCTTTAAGACAAGAAACACATCCCTGTAGACCCACCAGTTTTTGAACTCTGACTTAGTTGATGAGTATATTAAATAGAGAAATAAATATTAAGTACTAGTATGCTGTGTGTTCACATAAGAAGCACTGAATATATGTTGATGTATCATTACCATTGTATTTACTTAAACATTTCTGAGACTTCTTCATTTATTCCAAAATTAATTTATTTCTTTAGACTATATTGAAAGTGAAGAAAAATTAACCTTATTGCATTTAGAGAAAGAACTTTTGGTTAAGATGGAGTAGTAGGTAGATACTGTGCTCACTTCTTCTCATGACCACATCAAAATTAAAACCATCCTTGGGAGTCACCTGAGGTCTGGCTGAATAGAAGTCCTACAACTGGGGACATACATGAGAGGCCACCTCTAGACTGGAAGGAGGAGTGGAGATGAGAAATGGGCTGGTCCCACAACCACGTATAGCAATTAAGAATTGGGAGGGATATCTTGGCTCTGGAGGTCCCAGGGAGGAGCAAGGGGTCCCGGCCCCATGCTAGACTCCCTAGCCCAGGGTTCTGGTGCCAGGCACAGAAGTCCCCATAACTTCTGGCTGTGAAAAACAGTGGAGATTGTGGCTGAGACAAAGGGCTGCGGGACTTGCAGATGTTCCTCTTAAAGGGCCCACATGTGGATTTACTCACAACTCATTTGCTCTGAGCTCCAGTGCTAGGGCAGCTGCTCAGAAATTACCAGGGACATATGTGGAGAAACCGAGTTTTCTGGCTTCATGGCAGGGGCTGGAGGGGCAGCTTTCTCCCAGACAGAAGTGCTGGCAGAATCCATTGTTCCTTCGTTGAGCCCTCCCCCACTCCGGTTGTGCAGCCACAGGTGGGTGCCATGTCTGAGACTCCATCAACTTGGCTAACACAGGTTGCCCTGCCAGGTGATTCCCTGAGACCCCACCCCACTTAACTTGCTATCACACTCAAGCTGCCTTCAGTAGATTTTCTATACAAACAGCCTGTCTTGGCTCATGCTGCAGACTTTCCTAACATCTATCAAAGGTTCACAAAAACTGAAAAAGCAGCAGCTGGCCTCAGTGCGCCCCACACCTGAGCAGCCCCAAGCCTGGCAGTAATGGCATCTGACCTCAGTTGGCAGCTTGGCCTCTCGAGGCACTTTCAGTCCCAGCATGGGTGGTGGCTATCTGTAGATTGCGTGGGGTTCATCCCAGCATGGGTGGTGGCTCATGCCAGGTGGCCCTGGGCAGGGCACAGGCTGCAGCTGAACTTGGCCTGTGTCAGGAGGCCCCAGCCTGCAAACTGGAACACTTCCCGGGGTCACATCTGAAAACAACACACCCAAAATGCAGACAGGGCAGGCACCAGAGTGAATCCTGCTTTGTAGAATCACCCTGTGCACAACAGTTCCTCCACTGGTCCTGGCCAGTCATCACAGCCAACCAGCCCACCAGCCCAAGGGTCAATCCATCCCATGATGAGCAAAGAGCAATCATGGCTCAACTCATACAAGGGCCATATCTGGAGCACCTGGCTCAGATGACCAAGGAAGACTTCTACTGGGACTCACAGCACACCTACTACATAAAGCCTCTCTAGTAAGACTGGGAGACATAGCAGCCCTACCTTTTACATAGAAACAAGCAAGTAGGAAGCCAAAATGGGAAGACAAAGAAACAAGTTCTAAATGAAAGAACAGAACAAAGCTCCAGAAAAAGAACTAAATGAAATGGAGACAAGCAATCTACCAGATGCAGAGTTCATAACACTGTTTATAAGAATGCTCAATGAACTTAGGGGAAGAGTAGATGAACTCAATGAGAACTTTAATAAAGAGAAAACATAAAAATGGAGATAGAAAACAAGCAAACAAAAAGAACCAGTGAGAAATAAAGAATACAATAAATGAAATGAAAAATATCTTAGGAGAAGAAGATTAGTTGAAGTGGAAGATCAGTGATTTAGAGGATAAGGTAGCAGAAAACACCCAATCAAAAGAGCAACACAAAAAATCCAAAAATAGGAGGATAGTTTATGGAGCCTCTGGGACAACATCAAGCATACCAACATTCGCATCATAGGGGTACCAAAAGGAGAAGAGAGCAAGGAACTGAAAACCTATCTGAAGAAATAATGATGGAAAACCTCCCTAACCTGGTGAAGGAAATAGACATACAAGCTCAGGAAGTGCAGAGTCCCAAACAAGGTGAACTCAAAGAGGCCCATGCCGAGATACATCATAATTAAAATGACAAAGGTTAACTTCAAAGAATCTTAAAAAGCAGCAAGAGAAAAGCAATTAATTACCTACAAGGGAGCTCCCATAAGACTATCAGCAAATTTCTCAACAGAAACTTTGCAGGCCAGAAGGACTGGTGGTAAATATTCAAAGTGATGAAAAGTAAGGACCTACAACCAAGATTACTCTACCCAGGAAAGCTATCATTTAGAATTGAAAGAAATATAAAGAGCTTCCTAGACAAGAAAAAGCTAAAAGAGTTCATCATCACCAAGCCAGTATTAAAGGAAATGTTAGAGGGACTTCTTTCAAAAAAGAAGGAAAAAAAAATTAAAAATATGAATAAAATGGAATAACTACATATTCAGCTACAATTACTTTAAATGTAAAAAGATTAAGTGCTCTAATCAAAAGACAGAGTGGCTGAATGGATAAGAAAACAAGAACCTTACATATACCGTCCACAAGAGACTCACTTCAGATAGAAAGACACACACAGAGACTGAAAGTAAAGGGATGGAAAAAGATATTTCATGAAAATAAAAATGAAAAAAAAAAAAAAATCTAGGGTAGCAATACTTATACCAGACAAAATAGACTTTAAAACAAAGGCTGTAACAAGAGACAAAGAATGATCCTGTTATCCCACTCTTGGGTATTTAACTGAAGAAACCTAAAACACCACTTTGAAGGGACATGTGAATCCATATGTTCACTGCAGCATTATTTACAATAGTCAAGATATGGAGGCATCCTGAATGTCTGTTGATGGATGCATGGATAAAGAAGAGGTGGTATATATATACAATGGAATATTACTCAGCCATTAAAAAGAAGTCTTACCATCTGCAACAACATGGATGGACCTAGAGTATATTGTGCTGAGTTTGTATGGAAAATCCACTGGAAGCAGCTTGGGTGGTCCCAATATCAGGAAGAGCATGGTCTCAGGGAATCACCAAGACAGGGCGACCAGTGTTAGCTATGTTGTTGGAGACTCAGATAGTGCAGCCACCTGGGTCTACAAGCCAGTGGAGGAAGGCTCAACAAAGGACCAATGCCCTCTGCCAGCACTTCTGTCAGGGAGAAAGCTTTTCTCCAGCCCTTGGCCTGAAGCCAGACAATTCAGTTCCTCTATACATGTCTCTGGTGCCTTTCGAGCTGCTGCCCTAGCTCTGGAGATCAGAGCAAGTGAGTCCATCAGTGAATGAGTCCATCAGAGAGTAAGTCTGCACGTGGGGCCTTTAAGAGGAAAGTCCACAAGTCCTGCAGCCCTCCATCTCAGCCACAATCTCCACTAGTTTTCACAGCCGGAAATTTTGGGGACTTCTCTTCCCAGCACTGAACCCTGGGCTGGGGAATATAGTGTGGGGTCAGGACCTCTTCCTCTTCCTCGGTAGGAACCTCTGTGGCTGAGATATTTCTTCCGATTCTCAACCGCCAACACAGGTGTGGGACCAGCCTGTTTCATGTCTCCACCCCTCCTACCATTCTTGAGGTGGCCTTTTCTGTATGTCCCCAGTTGTAGGATTTTGTTCAGCTAGACTTCAGGTGACTCCCAATGGTGGCTATTCTGTAGTTTAGTTGTAATTTTGATGTGTTTGTGAGAGGAGGCAAGCACAGCATTTATCTACTCTGCCATCTTGACCGAACACTGTAATTGGTTCTTTCTGATCACCAAGGTTATGGTGATAAATAACACTAAATTCCAGCTTTCATTGATTGGGCTTTTATTCAGTGGTTTAAATAGATTTGTAATTCATTTTTATGCTAACAGTGATAATGAAATATTGACTGTGTACTGTGTGCTAAGTAACATACTTGAACTGGGGTACAATGATAAATAAGATAAAGCTATCAAATAAATGATGCATCCTAAGTTCTAAGAATTAACTTAGGTTACCCCTAAAACTATATTTTATAAAATGAGATGTTTTGTATGACAGCTGGTATCATGACCTTCTTTTTAGTCTTCATTTTCACTTTCAGAATCTACACATACAAGCTTGTAAATTTATTGCCCCTTGATGGTACATACACACACACACACACAATATTTTGAGTTATAAGTTTTCAGATTTCCCAAGTTGTATTGTTTGCCATGAATTGTACTTTTCATTTCTTTACTTTTTAGATGAAGTCAGAGTTAAGATTTAACTGTTTAAAACAATATATTAAGGAATGTAATGGTTGTCTATGGCCATGCTACTCTGAACAAGCCCGAACCCATCTGATTTTGGAAGCTAAGCAGGGTCGGGCCTGGTTAGTACTTGAATGGGAGACCACCTAGGAAGACCAGGTGCTGTAGGCATAAAAAAAAATTTTTAAATAATAAAATAAAAAAATTAAAAGAAATGTAATGATTGGAACATTTAAATGGTTTTCTCTCTCTCTCTCTCTCTTTTTTTTGTTTTTGTTTTTGGGTTTTTTTTTTTGGTGGTGGTGGTGGTGGTAGGTCATTCCTAGTGTGTATAACAAGGCCAACAAAATCACTAATAACCAGGACCAAGATACCCAAGAAAACAAAGAAAAGGTAACTTGGACTTCTCAAGCTTTGAAAAAATGTTTATGGTTTCTTTTTGCCTATCTGAGCTGTAATTAATAAGAGTGGTTTTTTGATGAGTATCAGGGTGAAAGTACTGTATTTGTAATATTTCCTTTTTATGAACATAACTGGTTCTGACCAGGATGGAGGCTAGAAGCTTAGTGAAGCATAGGTGTAAAATGTTATAAAGCACCAATCAGCTATCGTTATCTTTATCTCTCTTTACTGTTCAGCTGGGCTAGTTGTCTGTTCATTCCCAGAAAATGCCTTGCACACTTGGGAGTTTGAGACTTTGATCTTGCTCTTCTCTCAGCTTGGAAGTCTATTTCCCACATTGTTTTTCCTTTTCATCCTCCCAGGAGTAGGTCAAAGGTCATCTCTACTGAGAAACCATTTTTTACCATTAATCAGAATTAATCATCCGTTTCTGTTTTCCCACCTCTATTTCGGTAGAATTAGTTGTCTAAAATTTATTTTAGGATATGATATCAGGTAGAGATGAATTTCCATTTACCGCCGTAAGGATAAATAATTATCCCGCTGTTTAAAAATAGGCCCTCCTTTACCCATGGATTTGCAGCATGACCTCTGTTGTATCTCGGGTTATCAGAGAGAGTTTCTGAGCTTTCTCTTTGTTCCATTTGTGTCACAGAACAAAATGCTACCCTACCTAAATATTAAAGCCTAATAATAAATCTTGTCTTCTAGTAGAGTGATTTCCTTTACATATTTCTTCTTTAGAAGTGTCTTCATATTTGTGGGGTTTTTTTCTTGTCCATATAAATTTTAGAATTAGCTTATCAAGTTTCACAAAATATCTCTTTGAGAATTTTGATTGTAACTGTGTCAAATCTGTAGATTAGTTTGGAAAGAAGTTACATCTTTACGATATTGAGCCTTCTTAACCTTAACACGGTATATCTTTATATAATATTTTAGAACTTATTAAGTTTTTCTTTAATTTCTTTCAATTTTTATAATTTTCTTCAGAAAATTATTATAATCTTTGGTTTATTCCTGGATAGTCTTATATTTTATGATGGTTTTAAAATATTTTTAAATCATATTTTCTATTTGTTGCTAGTGTAGACATAAAACTGACTTTTATATATTTATTTTGATGACAAAAAAGAAATCTGTAGGAGGTGAACCCACAATGTAAATATATATGTGCCTTACTATTAAAATGTACAGCTGGAACTTATTGGATTTTGTTAACCAATGTCACCATAAAAAATAAATTAATTAATTAAAATATATATTTTTTTATTTGACATCTTGTAACATTATTCTCTATTCTTTTATAAAATGAAATAATCTAGTGTAGAACATGGAAAAACCAAAATGCTGAAATTAAAAAAAAAAAGCTTAAAATCTTTCATAAACATGCTACCTAAAGATAAACATTATATATTTCATGTAGAACTTTCTAGTGTCTTTGGATATGTGCTCCACACATATATGTAAAATATTTAATAAGGATATGAATCTTAAATTCTAATTTTTTGTTTATTGATTTTTATTTCTGAGTTTTCTATATAGCTAATAATGACCACTTTGACTTCTAATATGTTTAATAGAAGTAATGATAATTAATATTCTTGTCATTTTTCCTGCCGATATTTTAAAAATTGCTTTATTTCATCATTGAATATGATGTATGCTATAAGTTTTTGTAAATAATTCTTAAGGTTAAAGTAGTAATCCCTTTCATTCTTATTTTGCTAAGAATTTTTATCATGAATGGTATTGCATTGTATTTTATCAAATGTATTATCTGCATTACTGAAATAACTATGTGTGTATACATTTTTTTTCCTTGAATCTCTTAATGTGGCAGATCACATTAATATATTTTGTAATGTTGAACCAATCTTGAGTTCTTGGATTAAACTGAACTTTGCTGTGTTCTTTTTTGCTCATTGCTAGTAATATTTATTTCAAAATGTTTGCATCTGTGGTTATGAATGAGATTGGCTCATAATTTTCCATTTATGTACTGTCCTTTCTGGCTTAGGTTATATGAGACTAGTAAAATGAATAGTAGGAGTATTTTTTTTTTTTTTTTAGCTCTCTGAGAGTTTGTGTAAAATGATCATTATCTATTATCAAACTAGCCTATGAAGCCATTGTAGGCCTTTGTTTTCTATGTGGTGTGGGAATAAACTAAACTACTTATTCAGTTATTTAATAGTTATCGAACTATTCAGACTTTCTGTTTCTTCTAGAGTCAGTTGTGGTTACTAACTCTTTTCTAGGAATATTGATATCACCTTACTTTTTGTATTTGTTGGCACAAAGTTGTTCATGTATTCTCTTAATTTGTATTTGTGCTCTATCCACTATAGTTTGTTTTCCATTCTGAATGTAGTTTTTTTTTACTTTTTTCTTAATCCTGAAAGTAATTTTTTTGTTTAAATCCCCTTTTTGAAGAATTAAGTTCTGAATTGTTAGTCTTTTCTGTTGTATCTTTATGCTGCTTAATTTTGTTCTCATTTTTATATTGCCTTATTTCTTTCTTAGTGTTTATTCTCCTTTTTTCCTGGTAATAATCTTTAGTTAGTTGGAGAGTTTATTAATTTTTAGCCATTCTTTTTTTCTAAAATAATCATTTAACACCAGAAATTTCTAAGTATTTTTTTACCTGCATCCCCAAATTTTAAGTTGAATTTCTATTATTCAGTAATAAGCTGGGAGGTTTTTTAGCCCCCAACATGATCTGTTTTTTACCCAAGTTTATTTGTATGTTTAAATATCATTAAATTTCATAAAATATTTCATGAATTTTTTTAAAAACTTATTTTTAACATTTTTTAATTATAATCAGAGATTATGGTTTGTATAATATTCTTTTACATTGGTTGAGACTTATTGCCTTGTACATTGTCCCTTATAAATGCATATTTGTGATTTAAAAGAATAGCTATTATTTAGCTATTAGGTACATGTTGTTATACAAAGTCATTAGGGCAAACTAATTGAGTGATTCAGATATTCTATAGACTAACTTATTTTGGGGAAGAGAGAGTCAGGGTAACATAACAATCTCCCCTTTACATGGCGAAATTAGTTTATTTTTCATTTGGTTTTCCGCTTTTTATTTTACATTTTTTCAAATTAATTTATTAGGTGTCTACAAGTTTAAAATTTGTATATCTTCCTAGGGAATTGATCCTTTTATTATCTAGTTTATCTAATATCACTGAAACTTCACCAACTTTCTTTTTGCATTTGCCTGGTATTTTGGCTTGGAAATTTTTGAGTCACACACAGAATGAATTCAGGTCTGCAACCTGGGTGAGTCTGGGCTTGTAAGGAATTCTCAGGAAACACTGATTTTCTTTTTTCTTTTTCTTCTTTCACCTCAAGCTAAGGCCAAGGCCAGGAAGTATCCCTATTATATTCTGTGATAAGGATTTTGATTTGTTTTCTTGATTTTTTAAAAAAAACTTCAC